AGCAATTCCTAGTTCTAGAAGCCATTGCAGAGGTTGTTGGTTTTTTCCCCAGAAAATTACGTGTGATGAATTTGGGAGCTAACCTCACGCGGCCAACTTTCATAGTGCCTCAGGTTATAATGAACATATACATACACTGGTAAAGTGGTAGGTGTTGCAGGTCAGAGGACAAGACAGACAAGCTGGACCTCACTTGACCTGGATACACGTAGGATGTACCCAGGGCAGGGAGCAGAGGACAGCACTGATATTCCCTATCATCAGCACCCCACAATTCAGGTCCGCATACACACTTGAACCCTCCCACCCAGTCTGCGGCTGCTTCCATGGACCTGTAACTCCACGACCCATGGGATGCCTCGCTGGTATGAATATCTGCCTCATCCTACCTCTGCCACGCTGATCTGCTCCTCTTCCCTTCTCTTTCTGCGGTATCAGGCAGGAAAAGCCCACAGGCTGAGCGCGGAGGAGAGGGAGCAGCTGCTGCCAAACCTGAGAGCTGTGGGCTGGAACGAGGTGGAAGGCAGAGACGCCATCTTCAAAGAGTTCCACTTCAAGGACTTCAACCGGGTACGAGCATCGGTGGTGCAGCTTTACAACACGGGAGACTTGGTTTGCAGAGCAGGGAATCCCATCTGCAAGGCTCAGCCATACAAAACCCTCCGTGTTTCTCCTGAAATGTAATGACTGAGCAAGATAACCTGCCCAAAATAACAAAGTGCTCAACCCAGCACATGGTGTGTCTGGGAAAAGCTCCCCAAAAAGAGGAAAACCCACAGGAAACCTCAACAAAGATAGAGAATATCCCAGGGTTTGCATTTGGTTGGGTTATCTAGAAACATGTGGTGTAAAATTAATAACTATGTGGTGAAAAACAATGTATCACAGGGTACGTGGTTCAGAGTTAACTCTTCTTCTTAACTCCACTGGGCAGGCCTTTGGCTTCATGACCAGAGTGGCTCTACAAGCAGAAAAACTGGATCACCACCCTGAATGGTTCAATGTTTACAATAAGGTAAGAAAGAGGGATGGTTGGGGCAACCAGAGCTCTTCAGGGGCACACATCCCTTTTGTGAGGCATAAAACGACAGCAGCAAGCGCTGTTCAGATCAGTGGGACCCCTTTCCTCAGATGCTAGCTGTAGGAAGGAGAAAACCAGGCAAAATACCAGACCACCTCTCCCACCCCGGGAAATTTCACTAACAAGTCTGGAGAAAGTAATAGTACTACCTGCCTCATCAGATGCCAACTGTCTGCAGCTCTGGGGGAAACTGTTCCTGCTCTTTCTGCCAGCAACACTCGGTCGGTCTGTCTGTCTGGTTTAGGTTCACATCACCTTGAGCACCCACGAGTGTGGAGGCTTATCGGAGCGAGACATCAACTTGGCCAGCTTCATCGAGCAGGTTGCAGCTTCTCTCTCCTGACGAGGGAGAGACACGTGAAGCCACATGAGGCCTCTGTCACTGCCACCACCCACACCTCGCCTGGACGGCCACACCTAGAGCCTCCTCCCGCTTCCAAACTAGTTCCTGGATCCACACTGCCTAACGCCATGCCAAATTGCCCGCCACAGCTTAGATGAACGGAAGCACTTCTTGGGCACCACGCATATATCCATCTCTGATCTTGCCACTTCTATTCTTCGACCCTTCGTTACCTGCGTGCTACCAACCCACAAACCGCTGAGCCTCTGGGGCTTTCGGAGGTGCCCTTTTAGCAGGAGGCACGTTACACGATTGCACCAGTACATCTTTCCAGAGCCTGACCCCATCCAGCCACGTGTTATTGCTTCTTTACCTACTGGAATATGCTTTCTAACCTAAAACATGGTACGCAAACCCACCCTTTCATTTCTCTGTGCCATACCAGCAACTGTAATGTGCAATCTGGTTATTACCGTAACCTCTTTTCCAGCAGTATTATAAGCAGGCACGCGATCTCATCCCTATTGTAACCTGCCCTTAGTAGGATACCAACTGAAAACGTTTACAATAAAGGTCTTGGTTAACCTGATGTCAGTTTGGAAAGAGGCCTCACTGTCAAAAATCACGCCAACAGTTTTCCCGAGGTAGGTACTTGGCCTGACTGCTCTCAAGAAGGTGCTTCTGCTATGGAAAAGCTTCTTGATGAAGCAACGCGGAGAAACAGCACGTGCCTTCGCAGGCCTGCACCTCAAAGTGAACGGGGTCTGAAAGAGAACAAAATTATCAAAGCCAGGGCAGATCAGACAAAAACTGCTTATGCTAAAAAATCAGAAGGGTACCCTAGCCAAGGCACGAAAATAGGGAATTGTCGTGATTTAGGTCGATCCGGCAACTAAACTCCACACAGCCGCTCTTTCACTCCTTCCCCAGTGAAGTGGAGAGGAGAAAAAAATAATAAAAGGACTGAGGGTCGAGACAAGAACAGAGTGAGCACCCACCGACCATGGTCCCGGGCAAAACAGACTCAGCTTGGGAATAAAGCAATTCATTTTATTAAGTTACTTAAAAGGATAAAGAGAAACAAAAGCAGTTACTTGAGAGGATAAAAAGAAACAAAGCCAGATCTTAAAAACAACACCTTCCCCCCCC